AACCGAGCTCGAGAGAAGCCACACAACTGATGGGGGTCATTTTGTACGGTCAATCTATACTAAAAATACACTGACCTAGAACACATTGCTACAGAAAATATTTAATGCCCTATATCTATCCTTTACTTAGCTAGTAGTGCATGTACAATAAATTATATGTTCATTCCAGCTCCATCTTTGACGGGGCAGTTTTATTGTTTTTACTTCCTCAAATACAATTAAATCAGCGTTGATGAATGTTGTTATTTATTAATGACGAACATTATACTAAAAAAATATTATAGGCTTATTCAATAGCTATAAGAATCACTGTCATTATCGTTGTGTGAAAAGTTGGCTTTAAAGTTGCCTCAAACAAAGATAAATAGCGGGTCCCCAGTTAATGTTCTACCAACCCTCTTTCTTTGTCATTAGGTCAAATGCTGACTGACGTTTTTCGATCATACTAATTGTTAGGCCATTATTTATACACTGAAATTTCTACGGATTTCTCCCCGATCATGACGAGGAGCACACGGCGGGTGTGACCGGTCGACAGATGATGTTAACTCCTCCATGGCAAATGATCCCGCCTCTGATGTTTTTGGAGGTCAGTGTTTGCTCTGCTCCCGATTTGTATTGTTTAAAAGGACTATATATGAGCTTGAGTAGTGTTCGTTATCTCCATATTTCATCCTCACTTAAATTTTAACAGCAGTGAGGAGAAACTTCAGGGGTACTGCACAACATCATATTCGAGAAGTGGCGTAAGTCAGATGTGGATACTTTAAAACTCCAAGGAACTTTTTGAAAATTTGAAATCACAAAATTTTACCTTTATTAATATCATCAAAAAGTTTTTGTCATTTTGTACAACCATTTTCTGACGATAAAGTTAAGTCAAAGACCTTTTGACATCATAGACAGCTGCTTTTTTAATAAAAATGGAACTCGTACATTCAATAACCTTGTTCTTAGAAATTTGCAAAATTATTTTGTTAAAAATCATTCCTATTGCACACACAAGAACTCCGAAGTTGATATTAAGATGGATGATGGAGTTTCTGATTGACAGTATCATTGTAGTTTCTGGAGCTCTGGCCTCGAGACCATAAACTGAGAACAGACTTAAGTCAAAATTTCGAATATAAGTTCCGAAAAAATTTTGATAATCAAACAAAATTTTCATCATTTGTTCGTATTAAGATAGTAAACAAACATGCAATTTTCAAAACACGTGTGTAAAATAAAACTCAAGATACTGAAAATCAAAATTTTGATTTAAGTCTATTCTCAGTTTATGGTCTTGGGGCCAGGTCTTCCAAAATCTGTCGGCTTTCCCATGGGTAACAATTGCGCTCCGTTAAAAGAAGACTTATTTTTGTATTCATATGAAGATGTTGCACAGTACTCCTGAAGTTTTTTCCTTCACTATTGTTAATATTTTAATGAGGAATAGAGAAAGAGGCTTGGTAGATCATTTACTGGAACCGGCTACGCATCTTTGTTTGTAAGGATTTTTATGTAGTTTACGAATCTAGTATAGGTAAAGTAATTGAAATTAAATTTGATTGTTGGGAATATTAAAAAATATTTTAAATTGCCATGTGATTATTGAAGGATATCCTCCTTAGAACAATGAAGATAAGTTGAATAACCACTAAAAGACGTAAGATTTTAACCAGAACACATTTTGATATCTAATGCGAGCAAAGCTCCCTTTATGTTATTCATAATCTATATACATATAATATGGAATCAGCTGTCTAGTTACAAACTTTTTTTCTAACCCCCCACACCCTCAGATTATCCGATTATTTTGTACTCGTATTACTCAAGGTAAGGATCATTGATGCATCGTTCATTCCTATGAAAAGCTAATCTTCATTGCACATTTTATATCATGAAGTGTTTGGTCATTGACGCATATATCAACCTCTTGTGACGGTAGATATTGTCGTTTTGTACATTCATGTATTGTCGTCGTCGACAATATGTACCTACCCTCACCGCACATATTGCCGTCCATCGGTACATATTGTCGCCGGCTGAAAAGTTACACATGTACATTTTGTCGCTGGCGAGATTATGTGCCTTACCCTCGCTGCACATATTGTCTCCCCACAGATATTGTTGCTTCAAGATTTTTTTGTTGATTTCTGGATTTTTGGTAGGTTTGTGAATGTATTGGTGTATAAATCACACTGACGTGTCTCGTATGCTATTTCATGCAGAGTGAATGTGACGGTACATGCTCATATTGTCGCCGGCCACAGTGTACATACCCTCTCTGCGCATATTGTCGTCCATCAGTACATGTCGCATAAAAATGCATGTCAATTCTTCCATATTAATATGAGTAATCATCGCATTCTGTTTTTGTAGAATATTTTTTAGAATTTTCCTTTTTATTCCTATGTAAAACTTTGATCGTCCATTATGGCCCCATCCTACACCCGGGGGTCAGGATTTGAAGATCATTAAATCTAACTACCTGAGAATGCTTCCATGTAAACATCACTAATCACGAACCTTCTGCTCTTCTCAGTAGTGGATCCAGACATTTCAGAACGGGGGGGGGGGTCAGATTTTTTTGGGGGGGGGATAAGCAAAATAAATGTCATACGTTTGTGTAGGAGTGTTGCTGTGATATGTCAAGTAGATTATTTCATTATGAAATTTTACCTGTGGACTACAGAGGGAGTATAAACAAGTTTAACAAACATAATTTACATCCCCCGCAAAAAAAAAAAAAAATCAAACGGGAGCGGTGCGCCGAAACTAGATACACCTTTGGTTCTTGAGAAGATTTAAAAGACTTTCTGTATATATTCCTGTGTAAAACTTTAACCATCCATTGTGGCTCCATCCTACCACTGGGGAATTGATTTTGTTTTTTTTTTGTCCCTCAAGAGAATTTTCATTCATAAGGAGACGCCGCCACTTGCCGTTTGAGGGCTGCAAATTTAAACCTATACTCGGCACTCAGGGACTTTGAGCAGTGAGCAGTGAGGGATCTTTTTCGTGACAGCACCTACAAAATTCAACGTTCACTAGGTAATGAAGCTTTTCCATGACCCAGTAATTTAGAGAAGAAAGTTTTTGAAAGAATTTTTCCTATATATTCTATGAAAAACTGATCACCTATTGTAGCCCCACCCTTCCCCTGAGGGTCTTCATCTGAATAAAAGTGAATCTACACTTACTTATAAAGCTTTCACATAAATTTCAGCTTTTTCTGACACGGTGGTTTTAAAAGATGTCACCAAATTTTCACTAATTCTTAACTACTTCCCTTGAAAGAGAGCATGGCTTTTCATTTGAACAAACTTGAATCCCCTTTATCCACGGATACTTTGTGGCAAGATTGGTTGAAATTAGCCCAGTAGTTCTTAGAAGAAGCTGAAAATGTGAAAAGTTTAAAGACGGACAACAGTCAAAATGTGATCATAAAAGCTCACTTGAGCTTTCAGCTCAGGTGAGCTAAAATGTCAATACCAATCATATCGGCACATGTATAAGAATAACGCAAAAAATAATTTCCAGATAACCATTACTACTGAACAAAAAAATTAACATTCAATCTCCAAGTATATATAACGAGAAAAAAGAATAGGCTGATTTATCAGATATTTCAACAATTACGGTATCTTGACATATAGTGATGTACACCAATCCTGCATGAACACAATTTCCTGACCAAAAACCTTTTCTCCCAACAGTATTGAGAGTTATGCTAAATAAATACTTGTTTACTTATTTGCCATATTCTTTGTCTATTCTTCTGTCTCTCTGTGTGAGAATGTGTCTGTCAGTTTCTCTCTCTCTCTTCCTGACCTTAGTAAATATTCTTCAACACAATATATCGGCGACAAAATGTGCAAATGTTCACAATACATATCGTCGCCGACGACAAAATGTGCCGATGCGTGACTGTGCATTTTGTCGTCCATTATGTCGTCGACGACAATACGTACCGTCACCCCACCCCCCTCCCATTTGCAAATAAACATCTTTCTTAATGTAAATGTAAAATATCTGTCCTCATAAGCTGTTTCCTTTTTACCCAAAATGACAAAATATGTCATCTAAATTTATTGCAGAGAACGATAAAATGTATTTTAATTGCAAGCTTTTTTTTCATATTGTTAATGTTGAGCAATATGCAAATGCATTTTCAATTTCTAATTGTTGCCAAACATTAAACTGAGAGGAAAACAGGGTCCACACTTAAACATTTTATTTCTGTAAAGCGGAGCGAATTGTTGGAAGTTAAAGATAAAAACATTTTAATTGACCAAAAAAAAGGGGGTATCTTTTTTTGAGGACTAAAAGAAATGTAAAAAAGCTGCTTTCCAAGAACTGGTAGTCATGTCATCCATGTATTAAAGTGAAAATGCATATTAAATTCTTTAAAAATCTTCTGTCTCTCTATGTTTATTAAGCAAATATTCCCGAGTCCCTGGCTCTGGGGTTTTGGAGAAACTCTATTGATAATATAGATGTGAAAAAGCATTAATTATTTGAAAAAATCGATAATATTTCTCAGCACACCCCAGATGTTTTATAAGGGTCAACGACCACCCATCATCCAGAAATATCAGAAATATTGTTTCCGTGCGATTCGTTTTACATGTTGCTATATGCATGTAACTGTTAGCAATGATTGCCAAAGTAGGTTAATAACTTACTTCGGAGCTTTTTGGTTTCTTTTATATATGGCTTTAACGTTACAGGATCTTTGTCTCGTGTCCAAGTAATTCCTGAAATAACTCATCCAAAATAATTTGCTTTTGCAAGGGGATGCAGCGCTTCGCATTGTTCTTGTTAAATATATTTTTGCAATAAAGAAAAGAGAGTTTTTAGAAAAGAAAAAAAGATGGACATATAAAGTTCCATTTAAAAACTATGATGAAATATTACCAGAGCATGCGCATGTTTGGATACTTAAGACAGTGTGAGATTTTTTTTTTAATTGCAAATGTTAACAAATATAACGATATAGTAATTTACCCATAAGAACTTTATTATATCATATTTCTAGATCTATTATGAGTGAGAAGTTTACAATAAAAGTCCAGAGCTCCGTACATATGGCAAATTGAATTAATGCATTACAACAGCTGTGAAGTGTGGTATAGTGCAATTGATATAACATGAAATTTGCAAGAAATTAATTAACAAGCTATTAAGGACATGAAGAACACTCAATTATGGAATATGTCAATTAGGAATGAATGATTAACTGTCGAAGTTTGTTGAACGCAAAAACGTCAACTCTGACGATTTCATAGAACGGTGTCTTCGAAATCTGTGAATCTGTAATGTATCCTTCACTGCTTGAAAAAACCTCTTGTTAAAAGTACAGTACAGCACAAAATTAAATGACAGGCAACACCACAAAAGAACATTTGAAAATTGACGCATAACTGAAATAGTCATTATTATATTGTTATTATTTTGGCCGATAGTGCTTAGATACAGAATGTCTGTGATGGTGGTTGGTCCGATAAAACAGATGTTCAGAATCACTATGCTGACGAGTGTAACGGTGAAACGCCTTTCATCCTTCTGCCACCCTCCCTCCTGGTTGTTGCGCAAGTTCAACATTAACCTCCGGTTCCGGGCCTGGCGCACTGTGCTCACTAACACAATGTTCACTACCGCCAGAACAACTAATGGTATGAAATGAATAATCACCATTATTGTGATCTCAATAACATGTGACATTTCACTTTTGGTAAATGAAGTCTTTACGTATCTTAACTTGACAGAATCTAATTCATACTGGAAAAATTTATGAAGCGATACAATAAATGCTAACAATGATACGACAAATATTCGAATTATGGTTCCCGTTCGACCACATTGTCCTTTTGCACGAAGAGGAAATCTCACATACATAAAGCGTTCAATAGTCATTAATACAACAATCCAAATACTTGTCGCAGTTAGAAAGCTGACAAAAGGAATAAAAATGTAAATGTTGTACCACATCCATCCATATTCTTTTGAATTTTCTCCATGTATCATGTAAGGAAAAGAAAGAAGTAATGCCAGTAAATTAACTATGGTCAGAGCCTTCAAATTGATGTACGGGGATTGCTTCAGGGACTTGCGCAACAAAACTACCAGGCTGAAAGAATTACCAAGTATTCCAAAAACACAGATGGAAGGTGCTACGTATTTTGTGCAAATCATTCCAAATATTTCAGCAACTGATCCTCGATTTGAATTTATCCAACCACTTGTTTGATTTACTTCAGTTGTGTTGTTTGGGAAAGCCATAATTAAGGGAAAAGACACAGTCTGCAAAGCAAAAAGACTATATCATAAACATCAAAATCGCAACCTTTAGTACAAGACATTTTATAACAATGTTTATTCAGAGAGGAAAAACAAATTACAGAACTATCAAGATTTTTTTTCTATTTTGAAAAAAGAAAGAAAAATGTAAGTCTCCCCTTTGTACCAATTATAACCTTGGTCTTCACTTACGACATGTATCCCTGACACTGAATTTTGATTTATGTTCTCAAGGTCACAGCACACGAAAATTTTAAAAGCTTGATACTATTATTTTCAAAGGTTACAATTATAAGCAGGTCACCATTTCACTGTAATATTGATATTTGAGACATATCCCTCATGTCAGAACTATACCAAAACGTCTCAGTAGTGTGTAGAGGTATGGTTGAGTTAGAATGGGATCGAGAGGTATTACTCGGATATTATTTGTTGACAGGCAGTCACTCATGCTTCACGTCGCTGGGAGGAATTTTTCGCTATAAGCTAATAACAGTTATACTGTAATATGTATCCATACATTGTGCTTCTTTCAAAGAACGTAAGAGGATCGAGGTTTTGTGCTCCCAAAGAAGAATTCATAATTGTGGAATTTAAAAAAAAGCCTTAATCCAATTCTTTTTCACCACCTAGTGAGCCTCGCTAATGACAATACAGCAATAAATACGCCGGGGTGTTGACTGTGAATTGGTATGAAATTTTCAGGACAATATTAGTCGAATGAGATACTTGGTAAAATGTATTCTTGAATTTATAGATTATCTTTCTAAGCGAGAACAACCTTATCATTTCTTTGCGAGGATAACGATTTCCATTTAAGTAGACAGCAAGCATGGAAAAATTTAATAGAGAATCTTTACTTGAATCAAATTTGAATGGTGACCTTTAAAAGAACTGCTTTAAACAAGGATGATAAACTTGAGGTTTTTAAGCAGGTAAAATGCAATCCTCACACAGAATGAAGAAATTTTAAAATGAAATGTAATTGACTCACACAAAACGATTCAAATAACCATCGTCTATTTCGTAACTTCATAAATGAATTTGTTTCTCCTTTCCGATGGTCATTATTCACTTTTTACTGTTAAAATTAATTCGAATCACCATCGTCTATTTCGTGATTTCATAAATGAATTTGTTTTTCCTTTCCAATGGTCATTATTTACTTTTTACTGTTATAATTAATTAGAATCTGTGATTTCATAAATGAATTTGTTTTTCGTTCCGATGGTATAATTAATCATTTACCTATTATTGTTATATAATTACGTGTACAAAACATGGCCCTCTTCACCTCTACCTCAGTAAACTTCTCTGTACATCAATTGTTTTGGCGATGTGATACAAGGCCAGTAATAACAGTTACTTAGAAATAAAGAACTGTACATCTACTATCTTCCAGAGACAGTGTATTCATGTCTGTTGTAAAAATTACCTGATATTTGGAGAGGGTGTGCATATAACCCGTGTTTATTCCATTTAAATTTTTTTCTTTTTTTAGAAATTGATAAATATAGTTTTAGGAATATGAAGCATCAGATGAGCGTACTTGATTTTGCTTCAGTACTTTTTTTTAATTATGAATACCAAAAGAGAACTTGAAGTCATTTGTCAAGACTACCATTTCTACGTTAGAGACCGATTCTTACTTAAATAACTAGACGTGTATTGTATTTCAACAATATTTCAATCGTTTTATAGGTAAGACAAATTAAACGAGGTATTAAATCTCTGAATACACTGTAGTTACGTTTTCACAGGTCATTGATACTGAGCTGGTAGATAAAACATAATTATGGGATCATTTAAACTTCATATGAAAAGTCTTGCTTGCATTTGAAAGTTTTAGCTATATATATTTTTTTTGATTTGAGCTCGTCATGCAGTTAAATTATGTAATCACTGTGGCCATAGAGACTTTTCCCAACAGATCCTGATCCTTCCCCTAGATCTTAATCAAATTTCCATTATGTTAACCCTTAATTATGTGCTTATAAAAATGTTCAGCATGATAAAATTGATTTTCTACTTGTAGGCACATCAGCGCGATAATACGGCGAACAATCTTTATTGTCGTTATCTGTTGAGAGATTATAATTGTATCAAGTATTTTCTTAATGAAGTAAATTATGTCTGCAGATGCCTTGTGCTGATATTCACGTATTATTCTTCAATGCACTGAAATCACACACGAAAAAGCTCTTCGCTTACTCCTGTAGTAAAAAATCACTTGAATATATTTTATACGTAATAAAAATAATAATAATAATTATTATTATTATTGCTAATCGTTTGGCTTTATAATTTTTTCAATTAATTTAAATGGCAGAATTATAAGACATATCTTAAAGGGCATACTTAAAGAATAGGTATTCAAATGCTTGCATGTATTTGAGAACATAAGGTAAGGTCACAAATCCACAAAATTATATGCTAGCCTTTTCGCATTTCTACGTTACGTTTTAAAACATTGTAAAAGTCATCATAAATATCGATTAGCGAGTCTGCTACAAAAATCGATTACTGATAAAGGTGGTATGATAAATAACGGTCAACCAGAGGGTACTGAATCTATGTTACTAATTACCTAAATGAGCTTTCATATTAATATGATAACAAAGTGTTTCCTATATCTCTATCCTTGGAACTACTTGGAAGAGTTAATGTGCGTTCATAATTTGCAAAAAAGAAAGAAAGAAGAGAAGAAAAATAAAATAGTGGAACAAACCAATTTAAAAAAAAAAATAAAAAGCAAAAAATGCAAAACAGTAATAAGTGATAAGTGACGATGAGTGAAAAATTTACAAAAGAACACGAGTTCAAATGATCGTGCGATTGCATGAAACATTTTAATTATAAATAAGTATGATAAAGGTAATAGAGAACTGAACGCACAACTTATTAAGTTAAGGGAACTTTTCAATCAAAACAGTAATCATTTATAGAGATAAAAGTGCAAGATATGCTTTCACAAATTGATTCAGACAGCTTTTTTTTTTCACTTACAGCAATATTATCATGATCATATGCAGAAGAAACATACAGCAGTATAAAGTAAAATACTGGAAGATTATATTATTTTTTAATGGAACAAATTTGGAAACAAAACCTATTCCTGCAAACTTTAAAAAATTCCATTTCAAGGAACATTTGTATTCCGACCAATTTACAATAATAAAGTGTATTTTTGTGAAACATTTAATTGAAACTGTCAAAATAGATTTAGTGTCTGGTAACTTTCTTGGGTTCATTACACTCATTTTAGCTGCTTGTTCTCGGAAGTTAAGGATCATGACCTCTATCAGGTACGAAACCACAGGGAATTCTTAAATATTTAATTAATGGTCTGTTTAGACTTTTCACCTTCAGATATTGCTGCAATATCACAGGTATATATCCAACAGAAGCAGTCAAAAGTATCCTAATATTAAACGGTATAAATTATCATTCATTTGAAGGGTCAAGTTGCGATGGTTAATTAATCCTTATGCACTTAGGTAGAACGGTAGCTCCACATATTTTCATCTTCAGAAGTGCTGATAAACGGGAAATTAGATGTGTTGATAAAATATTTCAAGGATATCTGCTCTCCCGAGCCACACCAGGGGATAGACTTTTACAGCAACTTATGTGTGTGTTTTGATAACAAGGTGTGAGACGGTTATCTTTATAAATGGATTCACATCAGTGCTCTCTCTTGATACATAAGTAAAAAGATATTCTGAACAGGGATTTAAAAATCATTAAAATAGTGTTGGCTTCATGTCTTTTATGTTGAAATTAACTATTTTTGACACAGTAATTCATATATATATATATATATATATATATATATATATAAATTTAAAAAATCAAACTTAAAAGTTAATATCAAGTATCAGTTTTTCATTTAAATTTGGATTTTATTTTATCCCTATACCAAGGAAAAATATCTTATTGTATATATATATATATCTATATCTATATCTATAATATGTTTCCATCACAACCGACGAAACAAAAAGCTTATTAACACAATTAACAATATTTTTATTCGTGGTTACCACTATGCCAGTTTTCGAGAAAAGTTCTCTTTATTTCTTTAATTCGCCTATCAAATTTATAAACGTCTTTAATTAATTTAATAGCTCGCAATGTGACATACATGCATAATGAAGCAACAGAGGGGGATTCGACCTATTTTAAGTCAATTGTCTTTTATAATTTTGATGTTCAATTTAATTTTATCAACGTGATTTTGTACTGGAAATTTATGCTCGATTGATCTTGATTATTATTTTGAAACTGCAGAGTTCACAATACATTAATGTCCTATACAAGAAAATGTGATTAAACTTATACATAAACAAAGATGAGAAAAATTTCAATGTATATAGAAATTGTATATAGACGTAAAATATAAAACACAAAAACATGAAAATAAAGTTTATGTAATTATTTGAGAGTAAAATCAAGTTTACATTACAAATACGACCTGTCATTGATTTTTAATGTTTACGCATTACATAAAATTAAAGTCATGGGTTAAGTCTGTTAAAGAAAAAAATAGAAAAAAAAAACCCTTACCACATATCACTGCACATTCTCCAGTAAAAAATCCCAACGAAAACTGAACCCCATCCAGTTAAACAAATAATAAAAGTTTCCATGATCCATATTGTAAATAAACATGAACACCTCTCAAGAAATAACCGTTTTCTCTGATCCCTATACGATTCCGAGGAGACTATTTGCTAGATGAAACTGTAATGGTTTTCTCTGGCTAACAGTCGTACACTCTGACTGAATTAGTCCAGTGAACTTGGGTTTAAGTAACTGTTTAAGATTACACTATAGTGTTTGTCTTATACTGGCTTTCCAGTTGGGAAATCAACATTTATGGTTTTTGTTTTGCAGTGTATATAATAAGGAAATTATCTGCGTTATATAAACAAATGACAGAACAATACCCATCGGTTCTTGTTATCTTGATCAGCATTATATATTGTGTAAATCATC